ATTATCAAATTCTACACATTTTGATCAAATAAATTATATCTTACCTAATGTCATAAAACAAAAACGAATATTAATCATCCATCCACTTGAAGACACGAGAAATGCAATGCTAAATTATTTTAAAGCAATTAAAAAAGTTGATACATTTGATACTTTTGATAAAGGCATTAGTGCAGCAAGAAGTTATAGAGAATTGAATAATCAATGTGCTTATGACATAGTATTTATTGGACTTTATGAAAATAATGAAGAAGAGGTCATGAAAGCAACTTTAGAATTAAGAGGACTAGAAATGAATAATAATAATTTAGCTATAATCTTTATAATTTTTCAAAATAATAAAGAAAATGAATTAGCCGAAAAATTAATTGGAAAAGTTGGAGGAAAAATTACAATTCTTCATACTCCAATTACATGGAAAAAGTTAATTAGTCTATTTATGTATGTGGAAAACAACTACTCTGCTATTAATAAAAATAATAAGAGTCTGCATGCAAATGAAAATATTCTGAAGAGATTAGCAGATCATAAGTTTTGTAAATCTGAAAATATAGATCAAGATATATATGAAGACATAATAGGAAGTGATTCCAAGATAAGCAAGTGCATTTTATGTGTGGTAGTGTTTCATTTCTTTTTATTTTATTAGAGCTTTTTAACGTATAAAAATTTTCTTTTAATCGGTGCTGGCTAACATTATCGTTATTTGTAGGATGATAATCCTATTAGTCTTGAGGTAATTTATAAATTTAAAATTATAGATCCATATTCTTTTATTAATTTTTTAATCCATTTTTATTTTTAGAACACATTGAAACAAGTTTCAAAACTTGGTTATTCAACAATTTCTGCATCAAATGGTCTAGAAGCAGTCAAATTGATTGGTTCAAAATCAGTCTATTCAGATATAGATCGGATAAAGCCTTATAAAATTTCATTAGTTTTAACAGAATATAATTTAGTAAGTTTATTTTCTGAATTCGTTGTTTATATCTATCATGGTGAAATATTCACAGGTCATTAATTATTATTCTCAGCCGATAATGTCAGGCTTTGATTTTTCACAAGCAATTAGGGCAATGAAACTACCAATTTCAAATATACCAATCATTGCCTTAACAGCCTTACCTGTGGAAGAGATACGAAATAAATGTATCGAATCAGGAATAAATGATTATATTGCAAAGCCTTTGCAAACTGAAGAACTTGAAAATGTTTTAACTAAATGGATTGGTAAAAATTAGACTAATTATGATTAAAAGCATTATGAATTTATAAATATTTGTACTAGATATTTAAGCTTAAATGTTTAACTTTAACAATAATATTTTTTTTCCACCAAATTTCGCCAATTGTGATAAAATTATTTCACCACTCTAGTTTAATTTCGCCAGCATCTTT